CCCACATCCTCGTGGACACCCGTCTGCCTGTCTGTTACAGCCATCCTCAGGGTGTGAGGTGATATCTCATCATGGTTTGAGTTTTCATTTCCCTGATGACTAGTAACGTTGAGCATCTTTTCGTGTGCTCATTGGGCATTTGTATATCTTCTTTGGAGAAATGTCTATTGAAATCCTTTGTCCATCTCGAAATTGGATTATTTCTCTTTAATTGTTGAGTTGTAAGAATTTTTTTCTTTATATATTCTGGATACTAGTCCCTTATCAGATATATGATTTGCAAAACCTTTCTGATATTCAGCCTGTTGTCTTTTCACTCTCTTGTCCTTGGAAGCTCAGAAGTTTGTTATTTTTATGAAGTCCAGTTGGTCTGTTTTGTCTTTGCTGCTTGTGCTTTTGGTGAGAATCTTTTGCCAAATCTGAGGTTATGAAGATTTACACCTTTGTCTTCCTTAAGTTTTATTGTTGTCCCAGTGTCATTTGTTGAAAAGACTGTTTCTTCCCCATTGAATGGTCTTTGGCATTCTTGTATAAAATTTACATTTTTTAAAGCTAAGTCTTTGAAACTTAGTGTGTATTTTATACTTATAGCAAATCTCAATTCAGACACTGAGTTTTCATTACATAGAATTTTTTTTTTTTGAGACAGAGTCTCACTTTGTTGCCCAGGCTAGAGTGAGTGCCGTGGCATCAGCCTAGCTCACAGCAACCTCAATCTTGTGGGCTCAAGTGATCCTACTGCATCAGCCTCCCGATTAGCTGGGACTACAGGCATGCGCCACCATGCCCGGCTAATTTTTTTCTCTCTCTATATTTTAGTTGGTCAATGAATTTCTTTCTGTTTTTAGTAGAGACGGGGTCTCGCTCAAACTGGTTTCAAACTCCTGACCTTGAGCAATCCGCCTGTCTTGGCCTCCCAGAGTGCTAGGATTACAGGCCCTGGGTCTCTTCTAACCCTGTAATCTTGTCATTTCAAGAATGACATATAGGTTGATTCTGTGGCACGTTTCCACTCCATCCCTGGAGATCCACTGAAGTGATTGTCTGTGGCAGTAGCTGCTCCTCTGTCCTGGTGAAGTGCCCCATGGCATGGCTGTGCGATTTGTTTACCCATGCACCCATAGAGAGATCACTGCAATTCTAATAAAAATCCTAACGTGAGTTTTGTGTAACTTGACAGGCTGATCTTAGTGTTCTCAGCCACACTTTAGAGGCATTCATTCATTCATTCATTCACTCACTCACTGTGTGGCTGTAGTCCAGATGAGGTGCTGGGCTCGGAGGAGGGGCTCAGGTGTCGCCCACCTCGAGGCTGTGTTCTTGATGCAGTGAGGGTGGCAGGTATGGGGGCCTCACCCAGCTGCCAGAGCAGAGGGGCCACTGTTGTGTTGGGCTGCGCACAGAATAGTGAGGGGGTCCTGCTGGTGGTGAGGCAGGTGGAGGCCGTTGGGGCCTGAGGGCAGGATGCAGATGGCGGGGCTTGGGGCTGGTCATCACATCGTGCTGGGCTCGGGTGTCGCCAGAGAGAGGGGACAGCAGCTAGGAAGCGGTGGGGCCTAGATTTCACATGTGAAGATCACGCTGTTTTGTGCCTCTGTGTCTGTTTTGGGTGCTGCGCTTGGAATGTGGGTGGCCACTTCCAGGGGGAGGCCAATGGTGAGCAGGTGGACAAGGACTCACTATGGCTGTAGGAGAACAGAGCTGAGGGTGCTGATATTTACTAGGACTTGGGTGGGGCTAGGGTGGTGGTGAGCTGTGTGGACTCCTGTGAGGGGACACTGGGGAGGCCATGGAGACACGTGAGTGAGGGCATGGTGGGGACACTGGTGGGAGACATATGGGGGGAAACTGGGGGAGGACACGTTGAGGAGACACTGGGGGAGGACACATGGGGGGAGACCCGGGGGTGACATGTGGGGGGACACTAGGGGTAGACACTGGGGGATGCTGTGAGGGTAGGTATCCTGGGGAATGGGCACCTGGGGTTTGACTTAGCGGGGAGTCCATAGGGCCCAGAGCAGGGGGCTGTGATCTGATCAGGGCAACAGGATGGGGTGAGAGTGTGACAGGGAGGTCAAGGCCCTGACTTGGGGCTGGCCCAGAGCAGGGGTGGGCAGGGGTGTTGGGGCCAGGAGGGGGGCAGGGAGTAGAGCAGACCCGCCAGCCCAGTGGGTATGGAGTGGCGGTTGGTGTGCTGTGCTGTGCTGTCCTCCAGCCACGTCCAGCTGTGCAGGTTCAGGCTTTGCTTAGTGGGGAGTTTGGTTTTTACAAACCATTAGTTTAAAATATATTTTTTTTTGTTGAGGTATAATTTATGGGTGATGTGCAATGGACTGAATGTTAGTGTCCCCAAATTGATATGGTAAAGTCCTCACCCCCAGGGGGATGTGTTAGTAGGTGGGGCCTTTGGGAGTTGAGTAGGTCACGAGGGTGGAGCCTCATGAGTGGGCTTTGTGTCCTCTGTAAGGGACGCCAGGGAAACTCCAGTCCCTATGAAGTTACAGCAAAAAGACAACTGCCCCTGAACTGGGAAGCAGCCCTCCCCAATACTGAACCTGAGGGTGCCTGATCTTGGGCTTTTAGCCTCCGGAACTGTGGGCACCGCGTGTTTGCTGTCGATGCGCTGCCCCAGCAGTGGTGTTCTGTGTGGAAAGTTGGTACCGAGAACTGGTGCTGCTATAACAAATATAATACCTAGACACCAGGAAGCGGCTGTGGCCCTGCCTCATGTGCAGAGTTCCGGAGGACTCTGGGAAAAGCCATGCTGCCATGAGCAGACCTTTGCAGGTGACTCTGGTGAGGGCTCAGGAAAAAGAGAGAGCTGCAAAGAAAGTGTGCATCATCCTGGAGGGTAAACTGAGTAATCCTGAGCAAAACATTGGCAGAAGTACGATGGTAAAAGCCATTCTGAGGCCCCCTCGACAGGCATGAGGGACGTGCCGCTGGAACCTGGGGGAGAGGCCCGGTTACAAAGTGGTGCGGAGCCTGGCGGTGTGGTGTTTGCATTCTAGTGCCATGTGGAAGCTGGAACTTGTGAGTGACGAGATTGGGTATTTGGCTGAGGAAATGTCTAAGCAAAGTGTCGAGGGTGCAGCGTGGCTTCTCTGGATGGCATGGAGTGGAACGTGAGAGGAGAAAGGCTTTAAAGACAGAATTGTTATTCTGGTGTGAGTCTTTTCTTGGATATGTGTTTTGCGATTATTGTCTCCTATTTAGCGGTTTGCCTTATTGCTCTTCACAGTATATTTTGAGGATCAGAAATTCTAAATTTAATGTAGATGTTTTCCTGTAAATCAGTGTTTTTTGTATTCCATTTAAGAAATCTGTGCTAACCCAAGGGAGGACCCTGACGATGTCCTCCTGTGTGTTCTGCCTTCAGCTTGGGCACTGTGCTTTCTCTGGCACTGAGCTTTGTGTTTGGCGGGCGTCAAGGTTGGTTTTTCTTTGTGGAGACATGTGGTCTCCGTCATCATCTGTGTGGGTTACATGTGTTCTTAGGTAGCCCTTACCGCTGCCCTATGGCGTCGTCTTATTGCCTGTGTCACAGATGAGGAAACTGAGGCTTGCAGAGAGGAGCTCACCTGCCCTGGTTGCAGAGCGGGTTGGGGAGCTGGACTCATGGCCACACTTGCCCAGCCCCCAGCCTGGCTCTGGCCAGGCACTGCACACGTTGTCACCTGATTCCACAGTGGAGGAGAGGGTCTGAGTTCAGGTCTCACGGGGAGTGCGTGGCGGGGCTGGCCTGCCTCAGCTGGCGCATCGGGATCCCGTGGTCTCAGCGCCTCTGCAGTGTCTCCCAGGGAAGGTTCAGAAACCACCTCGTCTCGTCAGGACCCCTCAGTATGAGGCATGTGGTACAGGCTGGTCCTCGCAAGTCGAAGGCATGCGCCATAGCAGCCACCCTCTTGCAGAGAGCCCTGCTGTCCCCTGCTGTCCTAGTGTCCTGGCTCCATCTGTTCCTTGCTGTGCACCCATCCCACACAACCGGCACTGCTGGGAGTACTCCCTGGGGAGCGCTGGGCTGCACCACACTGCCCCTGTGTGCACTTGCGCAGAGGTGGGAACTCCTGGGCTAGTAGGTGCAGGCCTGTGGCTCCCTTGACCCACCCGTGGGAGCCATCTGAGCTGACTGAGAAAGCCCTTTCCTTGCTAGAGGTCCACTGTGGCGTCCGGCTGGGTGTGTTCAGGTGTGTGTTCCTGCTGCAAACTGGTACCACAGGTGTGTTTTCAAAGACAAGGAAGCTGAGGCTTCAGGAGGTTACAGAGCCTGCTGGGTGCCCAGCTCCATGGTGATGGCCATGGAGCTCCAGCAGGACATGCGTCTCCTAGTGTACATCCCTACCCTGTTCTAACGGGGGCTTAGGCCCCCAGGGCTCTGCGCCTGGACCCTTTGCTGGGACAGTGTGTGGAAGCAGATAGGCAGTCACTCAGAGTCACTGAAGTAGATGCCACTTGCCAAGTAGTTCCCTGAGACTTCATGGGGTAGAATTGTAACCAAGGGAAAAAAGTAGCACCTTCCCTGCAGGCCTCTGCAGCTGCTACTATGCCCAGTGGCTTTTCCACCTTGCTGGCAGGAGGGAGGCCCTGAATGTCTCCCTGGACCAGGGCTGCCCTCCAGAGCCTGGGTTCCATGTTTAAAGCTGTTGCAAGCAGGCCCCTTAGATCCTGGTTCAAGACCATCTTGCTGCAAATAACTAAGTGGTGAGCTTTGTAAAGATGGTTGTAGCTTGGATAAGCAGAAAGGAAAGAAGTCTACACTTCAGGACCAGAGGCAGGAAGCACATTTGTGGCTTGGAAGAAAAATGACTACTTAGTTGAATTTTGTTAGGTTTTAAAAAACTTCTATTAAGAAAAAAAAGTATTCCAAGGTCAATGCTTTTCATTTTAATCACCAAAAAGAAAATGTTGGAGAAAAATAGAATGTATTGCAATGATGAAAATACAGGAATATTTCTTATTTCTGAATTCTCAGTATTGAAGTTTTCTCTTTATCATTTCAGTATTCTGCTGAGAAACTGAACAGAAGTGGCCATTTGTTCCCTTTGGAGATCAGTGGTGAGTGTTCTGGCAGCCCTGGCAGGGTCTTCATGGGGCTGGTGTGGGCAGATTGTGAGTGGGGTTGGGGGCAGGCCCCAGGCCAGGTGGAGATCCTGGAAGCTGAACATGAACATGATCTTAAGAGCAAAGGCCCTGTGGAAGTATTTGCATGTCCTGTACCGAGGGGTGGGGGAGGTCACCTGCAGCCGTCCTTTCTGCTGCTGGGCCAGGGGTCAGGGTGGTCTGTGCGCAGGACAGCCCATGCCAGGGTAAGGGCTGAGGCAGGCCCTTCCCTTCTTGGCTGGTGGGGGTGCGGTGGGGGCCCAAGGAGCTGCCGTGGCCTTTCTGGGAGGAACAAGGCCCACCCAGTGGCATCTGGTGGCTTCTAGAGAAAGAACGGGACCATGGGTCAGGTGATGCATGCAGTGTTGTTGGCAGCTCTGCTGTGGTGCATGCCGCACCGCCTTTGTGTGTTGGGACATCCGTGCTGTGGAGTGTGTGGATCCGCCTGGGCTTACCGTACCAGCCCGTCTGTGACCAGGAGCAGGCAGCTGCCTGAGTGTGGAGACTCGCTGGTGTTCACACCCTGATAACCCTGGAGTCCCAGGCCCTACCTCAGAGAAGGCCCTGGGGTGTCGGGGCATCACCCTCTGTTGGCCCCGATGCCTGAGGCTAGGTGATGGCACCCAGCACACTATGCTCACGGAGCAGGACTTCAGGGTGATGCTGCTATGATCTGTGCTCAGAGGCTCACCTCTCTTGAGCACTAAGTTGCTAAAGTGGAGGGTTGTTTTGTTTTTAACCAAATTCACAAATAGATAGGAGTAGGAAGTGTGAATGCCTGGCGGGATCTGAGTCCCAACCCCTGCCCTCCTGTGGTGCCACATCCGTGTTCCTGCCTCCGCCTTGGCCTCCAAGGGCTCGTCCTGCACATGGGGCCAGATTGACCACCTGAGTCCCTGCCAAGAGCCCTGTAGGGCTTTGCACACTCCTCATCTGGCCACTTCTCTCCACCCATACCTGCTTCCTGCAGCCTTTGCTCTGCCTCCCTGCTTCCTCAGGTCACCCCAGGGCCTTTGAATGGTCTTCCCCTAGAAGTGAGTCTGGCCTTCTTCCCTGCAACCTCCAGTTCAGGGTCCCTCAGCTGGACAGTGCAAGAGCCACTTGGGGAGCCCTGGGGGTGCTGGATGTCATCCACTCCCAGCCACGAGCATATCCGGGAACACCCTCTGGGCAGGTCATCGTGGTCCAGGCATCGCGGCTGGGGGCCAGCTCCATGTGAAAAGGCCCACACACCTGACTTTGCTCTCAAGTCCACTTTGTGAACAGTGATGGGTGGAATGGGTCAGGAGGGTAGTGGCCAGGGCCCTGATGGGTCTGAGCACCTGTGGGTCTGGGCACGAGGTGGACGGGTGGAGGCTGGTGAGAGAGGACTCAGGGGGATTATGTAGGCGCTTGTGTGGGGTGGGCTGTGGGAAAGGGTAAAGGAAGTGAGTTTGGGAACCTTGGGGCTCGGCTCCCAGTGGGTCTACGGTTGGGGAGGAGTTTCTGAAGCCCAGACTCCTGAAGACACCTGCCCCCAGGGGTGCGACCCCAGATCATGAAGTACCAGGAGCTGTTTTTAGAAAGATACTTTGTAGGGGTCCTGGCTGGGGGAGTCGCTCACCTGTGAGACTCTTTGGCCACAGACAAAGGAGAAGCATTTTGATGACACAGGGAGAACATTTTAGTGAAGCTCAAGTGAGAACAGAGCAGGGTGGTGGTTTTCAGGCATGAAGACACTAGCTTACCTTGCTACGGTCAGGTGTCTTCCTTCACAAAGTGAATTAGTTCCATCACTAACCTAGGAGGGAAGGCAGGGCCAGTCAAGAGCCAGGGTCTGCGCAGGTGGGCTGGTACTGACCGCGTGACGAGTGGCATTTCCCACAGACAGCGTCTGTGCCCTGGCAAGTCCCTGGGAGCAGACGTTGCTGAGAAGCGGCCTCGAGGTGAAGGTGACGGGCCAGGCCTGGCTGGCCTGTGGCAGGCCGCTCGCCTGCAGAGGACGCCCCTCACCTGCTGCTCACATGTCTCTCCTCCCCTATTCCCGTTTCCTCGGCAGACCAGACTCCCCGGAAGGTCTTAGGTGGAGGATGGCCTGTTGGAAGCCGGGTGGCCGCAGGCCACGATCTCCCCTTCCTGCCCAGCCTGTCTGGTGCAGCTCACACTCTGGGTCTCCAGTGGCAGCCAGAGTCGCTGGGCCCACACACAGGCCTGGGTGCGGTCAGCGCTGCGGACCTCAGTGAGAGCACAGGGCCTCCTGTGGCTCCGCCCACGAAGCGGCACTGCCGATCCCTATCCGAGCCCGAGGAGCTGGCACGCTGCCGGTCCCTGTGGCGCCCCAGCAGCTCCAAGGTCTGGACTCCGGTCTCCAAGAGGCGGTGCAACAGTGGCGGGAGCACCACACTGCAGGGAATCGTGGGGACCGTCCTGCCGAGGAATGGCGTGCCACTGGCTGGCCCTACCTTGCCCCTGGCGCCCCGGCCATCCTCGGCCAGCAGCGGCTTTGTGGACAGCAGCGAGAGCAGCAGCGGCTCAGCCCCACCCTGGCATTTGATGGGGCCCTGCCTGCTCCCCTTGAGGCGCCGGCTGTCCCTCTCTCAGGAGCACCTCATGGGCACATGCACCCCCCTGCCCTCAGCCAGCAGCACCCCCACGTCCACGCCCGAGCTAGGCCGGCGCCACGGCTTGCTCCGGTGCCGCTCACAGCCGTGCGTGCTCAGCAGGAGGAGGAGCCAGCGCAAGCGCAGGCACCAGGAGGATGCCAGGTGGACACGCCCATCCTTGGACTTCCTAAAAATGACCCAGGTGAGGCTTTGTTGCTGTGTCCGAGCACTCAGGGAAGGTTAGGTCTGGACGTGGCCATGCTTGGGGTGAGGTTGGTGCCAGCAGGCAGCAAGGTGACTTTCTGCATAGCTGGTTTTACTGGCTGGCTGGTTTTCTCTGCACTGGGACATGGGTGTGAGGAGACCCAGGTTGGGAATGCCTGCCAGACTTGGGGCCGGGTCCCTGTGGGAGTGGTGGTGGTCCTGTCCCCAGCTTCAGAGCCCTTGTCAGGCCGCCTGCCCCACAGGCTCACAGGCTGTGGGAGCTGGGAGCAGAGGCGCTGAGCTGTGGGCCTCTGTCCCAGTGGAGCTGCCTACTCGGTAGCCTCAGCTGCTGGCTTCCCTTACTACCTTTTCTGGGGTGCTGATGGTTCTGGGCGTGAGGATCTATCCTGGGAGCCCCATATAAGGCAGAGTGTGGGGCACTATGCCTAGACCCAGGCCCTTCTCTCATGGGAGGCAATGGGAAGCCCGAAGGCAGCATCCGTGTGCCTAGGGCTCTCCCTGGCATCTCCCAGCCAGCATTTTGATGGAGCCTTTGAATTGTGGTCTGGAAGAGTCTCTCATTCCCTGCCGTCACTGCTGGTCCCCTATGGCTCACAGGCTGGCAGAGTTAAAGGAGAGCAACAAGACTGAGGAGACTGTTCCTCAGGTCTCAGCTTGGAGCCTTGAGGGCCCTGGCACTCAGGGCAGGGAGGCTGTGGCGGGCAGGGCGGGCTGTGCTCAGGGCCACGGGGTGTGTGTGAGGAAGGGCATCCTGGTGCCAACTCCATGTGTAAGCTGGGGGCAGAGGTGGCCGAGGCTGAGAGGGGCAGGGCTTGTGTGTCAGCCTCTCCTCTCTTGCCTGTCCCTTGGGCCACGGCCTGACCTGTCCCTGCTTTTGTGAGCTGGTGGGGGGAGTGCAGGCTATGCACAGTGGTGTCTCGTGCACCCTCTCAGTCAAGTGGGCCGTGTCTGGGCCGTCCTGGGAGGGCAGCGAGTGGAGTGTGGTCTGTTGAAATTTATATCAGGGAGAAGTGGCACAGACAGTCAAGGTCCCTCTCCACCTGCGGTGGCCCAGGGGCCCTGAAGCTGCCTGGCTGGGATCTCATGTGGGACTCTGGGGGGTCCTCTGGGAGGCCTACTTTAGGCCACCCCAACATGACCATCAGCCTTGCCTCTCCTGACTGGTGGGTTCTCCGGAAGATTCTTCTCGGTGGCTGAGGGGTTGAAAACCCAGACTTAACGGGCTGTGAAATACTTCTCCAGGGAGCTGCGGTTTAGAAAAGAAGGTTCTGGTCTTTTGCAGTGAAGGTGGACCAACCTAGGAATGCCACTGACCGTTGGCAAGCTGGCCACATGCTTCCCATACACACCGAGCCGTCCTTTGCTTGCTAGTGCGGCAGGCCTGCATAGGAGGGATGCAGGCAAATAGCGAGGGTGGGGCACAGATATCTCGTGCCAGAGATGCTTGGTGACTGAGCAGCAGTCCTGCTCTGGAGAGGCTCATGTGTTCCAGACCCCATGGGAGGAAGTGGAGGGTAGGACTGACCAGGTGGGGGGCTGATGGGGGGGACCACAGGCAGAGACTGTGTGTAAAGTGCTGCAGCACACCCCTCCCTCTTCCCCATCTCCTTCCCCTCTCCCTCTCCTCCCCCTTTCCTCCATGAAGTGCTGATTACTTTTCCAGTGGGTTTGCAGTCTCTCTTCTGGTCAGGATGCTGACACTCTGCTCATCATGCGTGTTGTTGACATCCCCCCAGCCTGTGCCTGTGCTCCATGTTCATGAGTGCTACCTTTGGCGAACAGGTGGCTAGCAGCCCGGGTGCCTGTCAGTTCCCTACCCAGGTCAGAGCCAGAAAGAAATGCTCTGGTTTCCTTTTTTTTTTCCTTTTTCTTTTTTTCCTTTTTTTTTTCTTTTCTTTTTATTTTTTCAACTGATCTGGGAGTTTATCTGGTTTCCTTTTAAAGCTTGTATAATTGTGTGGCACACTCATTCAACCACTCACATGTGCACACACACTCACACATGCACACACACATATGCACACATGCCACTGTGCTCATAGGCACACCCACCCACCCACTCACATGTGCACACACTCATAAGTGTACACACACATGCACATATACCACTGTGCTCACAGGCACACTCCCCTACCCACTCACACGTGTACCCACACTTTTTTGCTATGCTGTGCAGTCTGTGTACTCACTGTTCAGGACTTTTACATCGATGTTTGTATGAGATCACTGGGCTGTTGTTTTCCCTTCCTGCTGTTCTTTTGCCATCTGATTCTGGCCTCAGCCTTACCCCAGGGTTTAGCGGGCACTCTCCAAACAGGGGTGGGGGGCAGGTTTCTGATCAGTAAGCCAGAGGCAGGGCCTTTCGACTGCCCAGAGGGAACCCTGAGTCTCGATTCGTGGGCTGGCCCTGCGTGGGGTGCGGGGCACAGGGGTCAGGACTCTGGTCAGCAGTCAGCGGGCACGCACTTTCCTGACCCTTCACTTACAGCCAGTGAACGTTTTTACAAGAAGACATTTAGGGTTTTCTGTTTTTGTTGGGCAAAGCTATGTTTCCAGTTGAAGTTAAAATATTATCACTGAAAATGTGCAAATCAGTGACAGTTCCCGCAGAGTGTGGGAGCAGGTGCTGGTTTTTATACAATTGTGTGCTTTTAGGGCTTTGAAAAGCTTCTACCACTTAGAGGAAGTGTTTGGCCGCCTCTGGTGTGATTGAGGTCACTTAAGTCTGTTGTAAAGAAGAAAACAGCTCCCTATGGCCTCCTAGTTGGATTTTCAGGCACCTGGGAGACATTCAAAGTGGCAGTAGTTTCTTTGTTAGTAATTCCTTTGGGTGCCAAAGGACCTAAGGCCAGTTAGACCGGAAATATGTACGGGAAGCTGTGTTTAGACCTTCAGGCCCTGGATTTTTGGAGATCTTTTTTTTTTTTGAGACAGAGTCTCACTCTGTTGCCCTGGCTAGAGTGCCGTGGTGTCAGCCTAGCTCACAGCAACCTCAAACTCGTGGGCTTAGGTGATCCTGCTGCCTCAGCCTCCTGAGTATATGGAACTCTAGGGATGTGCCACCATGCTTGGCTAATTTTTTCTATATATTTTTAGTTGGCGAATTAATTTCTTTCTATTTTTAGTAGAGATGGGGTCTCACTCTTGCCGAGGCTGGTTTTGAACTCCTGACCTTAAGTGATCCTCCCGGCTCAGCCTCCCAGAGTGCTAGGATTACGGGTGTGAGCCACCGCACCCGGCCGATTTCTGGAGGTCTTGAGTTTGTTGAACAGATGGTGCCATCCACAGCCCTCAGAGTCACGCAGACGCCAGGCTCCCCCACACAGCTCTGCCAGATTCCGTAGAGCTCTGGTGCCAAGCCATTTTCTTCTTGCTCGCCATTGAACTAGAAAATGCAGACACTTAGAGCGGCTCATGGTACCAAGAAAAGGACTGTCTTAGTCCATTTCTGCTGTTATAACAAAATGCCACAGGCTGGGGAGTTTAAAATAATAGAAATTTATTCCTTGTTGTTCTGGAGGCTGGGAGTCCAAGATGGAGGCTGCACAGGTTGACGGCTGGGGAGAGCCTGGTCTCTGCTTCTAAGAATGTGCCTTGATGCTGTGTCCTCAAGTGGGCAAGGGCTACAGGGGCAAAAAGGGCCACCGTAGTTCCCTCCAGCCCTTTTACAAGGTGCTAACCCACCTGTGAGGGCTCTGCCCTGGTAGTCACTTCCCTGGATGCTCCATTCTCAGTACCACCACAGCGGGGGTTCAACCTCAGCATTCAAACCACAGCAGGGACCATCAGGAACCCGACATGTTTGAGGTGAGAGATGAGATCGCACAGCTCAATGTTTGGAATTTGCAGCTGCCACTTTTTCTCTCCAGGAGGCCCACCAGCGAGGGCGAGGGTGCAGTGAGGTGAGCAGAGGCACGAGTTGGGCAGGAAGTGGTGCTGCCACATCTGCATCATTCTGGCTCCTCTGGAGCGCCAGCCATGTCTGGGTCGGGCAGTTGGCTCCGTGGATGCAGGCCCCACGTCTGGCCGACTCCTCCCCTGTGGAGGCTGAAGAAGCCCCACCTTGGGTGCTGACCCAGGCTGACTTCTAAGGAACCCCTGTTGGGGACACCTCTAAGTTTCTCCTTTATCTACTATTCCTGCCCTTAGGCAGGTTCATCCGGCACCCTTGCCCCTCTCGGAGGTCAGCTCCAGGGTCCTGCCTGTCCTTTCCATGGTGTGGAAGCCCTGGGTCTGGGATGACGGTGCGGGCATCTGCCATCCTGTCCCATGCTGCCAGAACATGGCTTCTGTTCATAGGTCCCTATGAAATGTTAATTTCCGAGAAACTGGATATGTTAGCGTCTTTCTTCCGCCTCTCAGTTTCCTTGGACTTTGGGGTAGGTCTGCGTAGACCCGCCCACTGCGCAACAACCTCCTACCTCTGTGCAGGCCTGGGAAGGACCCAGGAGAGGCTTGGCTGGGCCTCCAGCTTCGAGCTTTTTAAGGCTCGTTTCTTGCTTGTGTACGTGCAGCTCACAGTCCGAGCAGGTTGTGCCTGCTTTCTCTCTGTTTTTGTTTCTACTTCAGTAGAAGTTGAATAAACAGACTACTTTAAAGATTTTATTCTGGCTGGCCCGGTGGCTCACGCCTGTAATCCTAGCACTCTGGGAGGCTGAGGCAAGCGGATCGCTTGAGGTCAGAGTTCGAAACCAGCCTGAGTAAGAGCGAGACCCTGTCACTACTATAAATAGAAACAAATTAATTGGCCAACTAATATATATATGGAAAATTAGCTGGGCATGGTGGTGCATACCTGTAGTCCAGCTACTGGGAGGCTGAGCAGGGGATGCGCTTGAGCCCAGGAGTTTGAGGTTGCTGTGAGCTAGGCTGACACCACGGCACTCACTCTAGCCTGGGCAACAAAGCGAGACTCTGTCTAAAAAAAAAAAAAGATTTATTCTACTTTAGCCTTTTACTTTTTCCCTATTAATGATT